TAAGTAGCACAGAATTTGTAGTATTTTACAGAATCGTTTTAGTGCAAATGGTTCATTTTTGGCTAATTTTTAAAGGAGACACAGTGAATAAAGTGATGTAATAAAATATCACAACTAAACAGAAAAGGGAGGAAGCAGCTAAAAACAACAACTAAATGATGGAATTGCATTCACAGAAATGTTGAAAGGCTCCTGGCATGCACGGCTTTTCACTGACAGGTGAGCATATATACAAAAACAAACACACACACACACCAGCAACACACTCTTGACTTGATGCAAAGCCAAACATCTGAAAATAACACAACCCATTTACTATAGACTCCTATCAATCACACAGAAGCTGCGTAACTGTTGCCAGGACTAAAAAGCTACGATCCCAACCTCTGCGCGAGCTACTGTTCAGATGTCGGTGCTGTCTTACAAACCACGATCGCCTCGCTCGCTGCGCCGCACGACGCTCACTTCTGTCTGTGGTCGACTGTGATGAATCTGACAGAGTCCGGGCCAGCATCGTGCCCTGCTGGACAGCGATTAGACGCGGAGCAGGAAGTAAAGCGGGTTGCCAGATGCAACAGAGGGTTGCCAGTTTATGCAGCCATATATATGCAAGTCAGCCTACAAAGAAAAATCCCAACACGTCCATCCATCATCTGTACGTCACTCTGTTTGGTGCTGCTTCAAGTGCCAGTGTTGAATGGAAGTTAAAAAGCTTAAACACTAGTTGGAAGAGCTACATCCCTGCACAGAAAAATCAGCCTTTGCATATCTTCCCAATGTGTGGCCTTACAAGTTATTTCATGCATGCCTAGTTAAGTAGAAACTTGGCAAAGGCTGCAGATGAAATGAAAGCCCATAAGGCAACTCTCGCCTCCTTCGATCAGTCCAAGTTTCAGTTGGTTGAGATATTAACCTGATGTTTTGTTTTTTTTTTTCATCAGGACTTATTTCTGACAGCTCTGTCTGCTGTGATCACATCATGAGAGCGCATTCCATATTGGCAAAATGTCACAGCCTGCCCTTTTCAAGCCTCAGCTCGACGCAACCAAAGCTAACTGATTTCCTTTAAAGGTACGAGGAAGAAAGTCCAGTGATACACAGACTGTGACTCTCACTGGAGATCTTGCTCTTATTCGTGAGGGCAACAAATGAGCTCAGTTGTTTCTGACCTTTTTGCCACACGACCCTTTAAACTAAAGCAATGTTTCGTACAGTTCCTTGTCGTGGGTTGCAAATGACTACACACAATGAGACATTTGTCAAATAAAGTAAAAGGAATTTCTACAAGTCTGAGTGGCCACCTCGATCCAGAACTTTGCAGGAATGGATAAAGATTTAAAGACTAGCTCCTAGACTGAGATACCTTTTTTTAATATACTTATTTGCCAGCAGCCTGCTTGTTCAGTTTAGCACACCGAGGAAACAGCAACAAAATCTGCCTACAGTCACCTATAAAGCTCTCTAATGAACACTGTATAGCTCCTCAGTCTAAACCTCTGTCATATTTACACTCACTGTGGGCTCATTTTTCACTGCAGAAGCAAGACGGAGAACTCAAGAATGTCTTTTGTGTAGTGTGACAGCAACAATGCCAAAAACAAAAAGAAAACAAAACTTGGAATCAACGCCCATCCAAGAATCTGCCCCCATGTGAACCAGGGAAGAAAACTGTGACGCTAAGTACACTTTACCTCTTACATTTTAAACGTGTTTTCATGCTTGTTTCCTATTTACTCGGTGTAAACACGGCCTGCAGTTGAACCTTGTTCAGCCAAAAAACTCCAGAATTTTCATCACATGGCTGTTGATCACAGCTTCATCACTCAGGGCTTAAGGATTGTGCTGAAGAGCACAAAATTTGTAGTTTTCACAGAACGTTTTTGGTGCAAACGGTTAATTTTTTTAATGAGACGTGTTGGATAAAGGGATCTCTGGAAAAATTGTGACTGTAAGCTTTGTTTTGGTCAAGTCGCTCAAGGCCTGTGAAGTAGCTGAAGATCCGACAACTGTGTCTGGTTTTACAGTTTCTCGCTCTGACAAACGGTGATTTCTTTAAATCAATCACATGCTTTTCAACCCCACTGGCGGGTTTGGGGGTTCAAAGAGTTAATACATTAAAAAAAATAAATAAAATGTATGAACAGCAGTTCAGCATTCAATGCAAGGCTGTGCCGACTATTTCTATTTCTTAGCCTTCAGCAGTTTCCAGGCAAGAAGCAGAGATGCAAGGAACTTTAGATAAAATAGTCCAGTACATCAACGCCAATTAAATGGTCTATTGTTACTTTAACACTGTGATTTTTGCACACATTAAACAAATGAGATATAAAATGTTAATGAGTGAAATGTAAAGGTGCTGGTAGGTGGGTTCTGTGATCTTTGCGTCCAGTCTTAAACTCATTGACTGCTGGCTGTTGCTTCACAGGCAGATATAGGAGTGGCGTGTTCTCATCAAAGAGTCGGCAAGAAGGCAAATAAGTGTATTTCTGCTTTAATCATTCCTCTGCACCAAACGGGGAACCACTAAGGCAGATTATGGGCTAAACCTGCATGTAGGAACAGGAAAACAGCTTGCTCACCCTGCCACTGAATGTTAAAAGGATCACTTTAAAGTGCATCAGCATCACTGTAACATCAATTCTGGCCGCTTCATCAAAAAGCTGCCTCGACTTCCAGCTCTAACAGATAATGCATCATTCACATAAACAAAAGACACACACGCTCGGTGTTTACCACTGACCCACTGGTGAGACCAGTCACGGACACCAGCAACATCACGAATGACATGAATCTCTCACCCGATTAGCCAGCGTGAGCTTGTTTCAGAACACAACACCGTGAGCTGCATCATTACTGGCTTATAGAGCAACTCAATTACGCCTCGTTTTGACAGCCCTGACAGGATTCAGCTTCCACTTGTGTGTACATTTGTGTGAAGGGCCCGAGCAGCTGCCAAGAGAGCAGCGGCAGGCCCCGGTCAGACACATGAGTTTCTTTATAAAGCCTCCGAGTTCAGGTGGAGGAGCAATCATATACATTATGGATAAGAGTCGGTGGTTGACTAACACACCATACTGGGAGAATCAAGTGTGCTCCGTGGAAGAAGAGCCCATTCTCACATTATAGGTTGCATAAAGGCACTTAGATGCTCCACAACCAGAAACGACATGTCATCTGTAACCCTTTCATACATTTTCACCTGTGTGTGTGTATACAGCTCTGAGTGCACGATTATCTCTCGGTGCGAGATGAAAAACACTTTTGCTGTTAATACGCTTCTGCTTCATGCAATGCTGCACTCCACAGGGCAGTGAAAGCCCTCCGGTGGCATCGTCCTGGACGCTCTGTCACAAAACCAACAGCAGCTGGCTTTCAGGACAGCGTTATTAAGCTGCTGCAGGTCAGAGTTAAAAAGCTGAGAATCCATATTTGCACAGGCCCTTATTCTTTTACGTTTCTCTTAACAACATCGCGGGCATATTCACAGCGTTGAGATGCTGGAGAACAAGGTAGCAGCTCTAACAATAACAAAAATGAAAGCTGAGGAAGCAGCTGCACCCTCGCTGTAAATGCACAAGTGTTTTACTGTGTATTTTGCCTTCAGGTGTTGTTGGGTTTCACATCCAGTTTGACCTTTTAATTGCACAGTTCAAACATATTAAGTCAGGATATCTAACCACAATACAGCAGAAAGCGCCTGAGTCATACCTTGCATTTACAACAAGAGCCTGACTTCTTGTAGACACATTAAATTATTGTTTTACTGTACAGTAAATATGGCACAGATGACTTTGACTAAACATAAACTTGGCCTCTTTTTTTTCTCCCCAGTGTTATGAGGGGGAATACCATTGCTTTAAATACTTTGTTAATACATAGGTACACATGGGAGTACTTACGCACTAGCCCAGATGGTGGACCCTCTAATTTGAAATCCAAGGGTATAATTAAGAGACAAAAAAATTAAAAAGGAAAGCATGAGGATTTGCTGCTTCGACATGAAACGCGGCACAAATTACAGAAAGGAGCAGCTTGGTTTGTGCGGTCATCGTTATTAGATATTCACATTAAACTAAATATTCTCGGCTTTGAATGAGTGAGTGGGGGACCCGGCTGCAACTTTGAAGACGCAGGCGAACCCCTGTGTGTTCATCCAGAGCTGGATGGCAAATTAAATAGATGATATCAGATGACTGAGCCCTGGGTTTCAAGTTCATTCCGGTGGAGGGGGAACCGTTTAATTACAGCAACAATAGCCAAGCAGTGCGGTGCGTACTGTGGTAATATTAGAATGAAAAAGGAAAAGGAAAAAAAAAAAAGTCCTGCAAGGAAAGCTGAAAATGCTATAAATTTTAAAAGGGTATAATAAGGTGCAGAGGAGGTAAACACGGGGCAAGCAGAGCAGGGAGGACCTGGAGAGTCCTGTGCGTAAAAGCTGCTGGTTTGGATCAAAAGCTCGGGTGATTAAATAGAAATGACGCTTTTGGATCAACAGAGATTCCCTATGATGCGTAAACGTTTGTTTGTTTGTTTGTTTTTCCAGATCCACACGCAGTGGGTTATGATTTTGTCGCACTGGCAAACATTTGGATAAGGTTTGGACGCAAATGTTTACCCTCCTAGGTGTGGATGTCACCAGTCACTCCGCTCCACCAACACCTCGCTGTACCGACGAAATAACAACGCGATCTGCCTTTTTGCGCTCCGGCTGCACTCTGGAAACGTCTCCATTAAACACCTCTTGCAGTCTGGAGCAACAGTGCCGCAGTGGGATTTGGATCGACGCGGGTTAAATATGAATGAAGTTGCAAAGTGTTCGGATAAGAAACTCTTATCTTGCAACATTAATACACTTTCTGGTGCGGGTCGTAACATTTCTACGGGGATTAGAGCTTCTCCGGCGCGCAAGAGGAGGAAACTTTAGAGACCGACTGCATCGGAATTCATCCTGAGGAAAAAGAAAAAAAAAGAAAAAAGGCGAGCAGAAAAGTTTGACTTACCGGTGTCGAAATGACTAAAAGCTGCAGAGGAAATAAACCCAGCGAGCAGAAGAGCAGAGGTGACCGTCCAGGAATCCATCGTGTGGGTTAAAGAGTCTTGAGCGGCTCTCAGGTGAAGAGCAGCCTGACGGACGGACGGATGCGCGGACCGGCCGGCGGGCTGCTGGACTGGCTGTGCTCGTCTGGCTGTCTGGGTCTGCGCAGGAGTCGCACTTTGGACGGCGTTAAAAGTCCCTGAACTTCAAGGCAGGTCCTGCAGCTACTACTACACTGACACCACAAAGACGAGACCAGATAGTAGAAAACAGGGATCCTATTTCCAACCCATGTGACAGGAAATAGGGGCAATGGATTCAACCTGCAGCGCGGAGGGAAGCAGCAGCAGCAAGAAAAGAGGAGGAGAGAGGGAGGGAAGGGTGGTGGTGCTGGGGTTTGGAAGGTGGACGCTGTGGTGCAATGAACAGCAGATCTTAGAGAGGGGAAAAAAGGCTGATTTAAAGCATATTCCTGCAGTAATGACCCAAAAATAAGTTTCTTACTGCAACAAAACTAACAGAGGGGCATCAAAAGAAGAACTAATACGCATTTTTCTTTTAGGTCCCTGTTGTAACACACACACATGGAAGTGATGCCATGTGCACTGGAACCAGAAACAAAGACTAAACCCCTTCTGAAATATTATGTCTTGGTTTTTATGTTGGGGTCTAAATCTAATAAGAGGTCCATTATGTTTGGAAAGCCCTGGGCAATGCCATACGCAACACTACAACCTCAGCAATGCATCATTTTAATAGGTACAGTACAGAAACAGTGAAAAGTGAAAGGGGTTTGCACATGATCCTGGCAGAGCAGCACTTAAAGTCCCCATAGATTAATACAGTGCAGATTAATTAAGAAGTGGGTGACGCTGGGGAAATTAGTTGCTTGTTTGAGGAGAAATCTCTTTTTTCCCATCTGCTGCTGGAGTTATGATCAAAGCCAACTTATGATCACAAAACATATGTATGTTCTTCTGTTGGGCTGCCTCTTTTTGCTCAAATGTAATAGTAATATCGAGGCCTTTCATGGGAATATGTCTCTTGGTGCAATTTTGGGAATCAAAGACTTCATTAAAATTTCTCAAATTCAGAAACAGAAGTCATTTTTTAAATAAATTAGCAGATTACGTTCACATTTTAAGCATTCCCTTTAAAATAAGCAGCATGTTTGTGCACGTGTTCTTACAGAAAACAACAATTAGAATATAAAATGAGTACAAAGGGCACAAAATACTAACTGAACGGCTTGTCCTTTGCTCATCTCCACTGAAGTTCGTCTTGTCATATTCACAGGATAGAAACAGGTGCACTGAGTGTGCAAGGCCGCTGTCAGTGCTTCTCACCCCATTTCAGACCAGCGGTCAGGTGTTGAGTGTGAAACAGCACCCTCGTGTGTTTCACTGCGAGCGCCATGCAGTTCTGTGAGTAAGTGTCTGAGCCAAAAGCAGCCACTTAGCCTAAAAATAGCAAATCCAGAATGATCTCACCACTCGAGAAGAGAAAGAAGAAAAAAAAAAAAAGTCCCAACATTTATTTTGCCAAAACCGACAGGGTTGAGATGGGGTGCACTGGGAAAGTAATCTAGCATGACGTGTGCCCTTTGGAGAAATGTAACTGTAAGGCCTTGAGATACTGTCTGGTGAAGGCTCCACTTGTGTTTAGTTACAAAGACAGAGACAGAAATTACTTAATTCAACCACGTTAACTGTGGCTTTGACTGAGGATCTCTTCTGACGCTGCATCATAGCTGGTTTTCAGTCGTACTATCTGACATCATAAATGAAGTGTCCTACGCAGTGGAAAATAACGAAGTATGTCGTCTCAAGTCATGTTTTTCGGTACAATTTTTTGGTACTTTTTTGCTCCTTTATACTTTTTCTCAACTACTTTCCAAGAGTTGCGTACTTTATTTCTCTGCTGTATTTATTCTGGAGCTGTACAATATTTACAGTGCAACTCAATGTAAAGTTTAGAATATATGATGTATTTTAAATTTAGACATATATTAATACAGATAACTGGCATGTAAAGCAGTTTAAATCAGCTCAGCCTTTACTAGTTTTCACACATTAATTTGCATCTTCAACATTTTTACATCTCTACGCTAAAATATAGAATTTTTTTTCTATTTATGATGCTTATAGATATGTTAATGAATGCATTATTTTATTCCATATTCTTTAGGATTAAGTTCCCATAGTTAATATTGATGTTTTGTAAAACCAAAACTTGTTCAGTTCATGACTATTGAAAATATTTTATTCACATTTACGATGCTGGAACACATCGATTTTTGCTTACAAACTGCTCAGGCAACTAACATTTTCTGCAATAATTTCTTCAGTTGACAAACTAATCAATTATTTGACGAAGATCTGTTCTCGTTAAGTTCAAAATTATTCACACTCATGCCAAATTTTGACCAGCAAGTTTATTTTCATTGGAAATTACATAATCAAATAACAAAAGAACACAAGAAATTGAGATGTAAAGAATAAATTCAAACTATTTTTAGGTTTTTTTGAGAACAGTGTTGCTAAACATGCCATGTTCATATCCCATGAAACCGACTCAAATATTTGAGAAAACGCAGCTTCCACACCGCTCCAAAGGGCTCTGGTAATGTCAGTCACGTTCTAGAGTGTTCCAGCACATTATAAACTGAGAACAGCTGATGCAGTAGTTCTCCAGTCAGTTACAAGTCACTTACAAGTCCTGGCCAAAACCAAAGAACAGAGTGAACTCACCATTATGGTCCATCACTGAAAGAGAGTTGTGCATTGTGGCGGCTCACAAGATGGGAAAAGGCTCCAAAATCTTTCCCTGCCAATGGCACTTGATGTAAATCTCAAAGAATGTGGTTGGAAGCCAAAAGTGACACCTGTGCTGGCAAGAATGATTCTGCAGGAGGCCAAGAAGTATCGAAAGATCACAATCAAGACCATTGTGATGAATCTGAGCAGTTTTGTACCGACATCTCGAGCAGACACAAGACGGATTCTTCTGGGACACTGACCCAGAGGTTGCCAGTCAGACACAAAAGCTCAGCGAGACTTTGCAAAAGCTCACCTGGACAGAGAAGCAAGCTGATGGTCACTAGTTCTGTGGCCAGATGCGATGGAAATGGAGTTGTTTGGACACAAGGAAGTGGCTCTAATTTGGTGAAAGAAATGAGAAGCAACGAACCCTATGGTCAAGTAAGGTGGCGATCATGTAATATTCCTGGGTGCTCTTTTCAGCCAATCTGGCAAAGTTTTAAAAAAGTAAACAGCATTAAGACAAAAGCAAACAGCATAAAGATTCTGGAGGAAAGCATGATCCAGTGTGCAGAAAAGGACAAAGATCTGAAACATGCCATCAGTGGGGTGAAGAACTGGTTAACAGAAATCAATATTTACATGCTGGCGTCTAGACCTGAATCCTATGACAGTCTGTGGAGGGAACTGAAGACTTCCAAAAAACCTAGAGATCATCACAAAAGAGGAGACGTGCAGGAAGATTGTTAGTAATTGTAAGAACCATTTGATTGCTGATTGCAAATAAAGGCTTCGCCGCTGATTACTAAGAAATTTGTCCTGAGTAATTGTGGACGTGGGACTTTCAACAAAAGAAAAAGAATTAGAAATAGGACAAATTCATCACTAACGTCTTGAACACGACGTCTTCTGTCACTTGTTTATGTAATGTCCACGCAGATGAAACCTGCTGATTGGATAGAAAATCACTATAACGCATCATCTGCAATGGACACAAACACTTTGGGGCTCAATTGCAAGCAAGATTTAGAATGTGTAATGTCAAAATGTGAAAGACCTGAATACTTGCTCCCTCACTGTATTCCACAGTGCACATAGAGATCATTATTTCACAGTGACATGACATGTTATGAATGGGTATGTCCTCAAACAAAGCAGATTCTGTGCCAGACTGAATAAAAACTACTGTGTGTCCATATGAAAATGAACCTCAATTGGAGTCCTGTCATTACCTCCCATCTCCCCTGCTATCAGTCTGTGATGTTGTGCAGTTTTGGTAGCAAGGCTTCCTTTGTCTTCTTTGTCTCTGTGTGTGTGTGTGTGTGTGTGTGTGTGTGTGTGTGTGTGTGTGATCACATGCTGGGCTTGTCTGTACACGCTGCCTGGCCACATTCCTTGTGGTCTGCTGGAGTTACTGTAATTCTGTTCCGTCTTTTTGCTCTCTCCAGATAAAACTTGGCACTTCCACACAAAATATTCACACTTGATTTTTTGGCCGTTTGCCCCCTAAGACAGTTTGATTGTTTTTCTGCAGGTCAGATAACTGCACCCAAAGTTTCTGTGCACTTTTTAAACATGAGTGGCAGCAAACCAACGTCCTGCTAGTGCGTCCGGCCTGCTGAGTTATGCAAGATGGAGGCTGGAGGTCACAGGAAGAATAATTTACTGAGATGTATTAGAAAGTACTTCAGCATCCCTGACCTGCCTGCCAATGGGAAGTTATGCATAGTTGAATGAGAAGTTGGCCCAGATGCTTTGAATTCACGAATTCAGGAGCCAAGACTATGTCATGTCCTTGTTCTCTCTTGGGTAAACACGAGAGTCGAGCCTTGAATCTTAATGCCACATTTCTCTCCTTTGTAGTTCAAACTATTTCTCCTTCTAGGCTTTTGTTCTTGGCATTCAACACAACAACGTTCAGCATCGCAGGCACTCAAAGCTCTTCACAATGAAAATGCTGAAACACGAATTATATATATGTATAAAAAAAAACTAAACTAAACCAAAAAAAAAAAATCCTTTAGTGGCATCAAACCTTGGAGATGATTTTGTGCTCATTACTTCATGTTTTCTTTGTCAACAGCATTTTCTCTGATGCTTCAGCACAATAAAGGCGAACAGATTTCCACGTGCTGTGTGTGGCATTAAAATTACTCTTAAAAACTTGACAGCAGCATTTTTCTTCAGAATCAGTGTCAGCGTTTCAAGATGATTCACCAACCTCACTGAAAGCAGCATTCATAGGAAACTCGTCAGCAACTGTGAGACTTGGAAATAGTGAACATTCACAGGTTTGTCAGTGGTAACTTCAAACTGTTTGTTGGATGTTTTGCTTAAGAAAATTGTAGGTGGGAAGTTTGCATGTTCTCCCCGTGCAGCGTGGGTTCTCTCCGGGTTCTCCGGCTTCCTCCCACACAGCCCAAAAACATGTTGAGGTTAATTGGTGATTCTAAATTGTCTGTAGGTGTGAATGTGAGTGTGCTTGGTTGTCTGTCTCTAAGTGTAGCCCTGTGATAGACTGGTGACCTGTCCAGGGTGTCCCCTGCCTTC